TTAAAAATACGTACTCTAGTACTCACTAGTACTCATACCCCCAATGCTGCATTTGTTATAAATGACTTGCAAATGAACAACTTAGCAAATTTGCTTTTGACCATATCAATTTCATGTTTAAAGCATTATTGTAACTAGGAAGGGGGGGGGGGTTGCACAAAGGACATGTGCGCCCCAAAAAATAAAAGCTTTTTTCTATTATATTTTGTTCATTTTGAATTTAAAATTATCAATAAATACAAAAATGCTGTACTATATATCTATAGGTACTGAAAATATAACATAATTGGTATACTTCGCTATAATTAAGTTCCCAGCTATAATATAATACCTATAACGAAATTATCTTTAGCACATTTAATGTTGTATAGAATAGGTCATAGATACGTATAATATGTAATAATATTATATTACAAAATCACGAAATACAGCTTTTAAAAAAGAGTAACGGTATTTTTCATTATCAATTAAACAGTTAAACTGCGTTGTTTAACAATTTTTTACAATTGTATTATATGTATATATATATTTAATATATCCGTTTTAAGAGGGTATGAGTATTGAGTAGGCCATAAATATTGAATCAATACTGTTTTTGGGATATTATACAAAACCTACTCAAAAGTAGTAACTCCTCCAATATGGATTGTATCGTCTTGAAATCTTCGAGGTTCAATGCAGTGACACCTATAATAGATCAAATTGCTGTTCTCAAAAAAGCCGTGTCTCGTATTTAAGTTTGAGAAATTGGCAAAACAAAATTTTTCGCCAAATTTTGCTTGCTTTCATAAATTAGTAATCATGGTTAATACTTTTATAAAATTATACTTAATAAAGATAAAATATGTTATCCTAGTGTCCAACTTTATGAAGATTTTTGAACTCTTTATTGATTTATGGTCTTTATTTCCAAAATATTTATTCTCAAATGCTTAAAATGGACATATGAAACTACACTTTTCAACGATGGAGCAAATGCTTAAATGAGATAGATTAGGCTAGATAGATAGAGTATTTTTGTTAGAACAGCGTTTTACAGAAAATTAAAAATTAATTTAGTTCATCTACAATAGGTACTTAAAATATATAATGCATATATTAATATTATGCACTCTATGAATTTAAAATACCTACCCACTTTACACTTAATAATATTACCTTAGGTTATAGTAATATTTACTTTTTTTAATATTTGTATATTGTTATATAACCGTTGTTACTTGTTACTGAATTGGTAGGTAATTATTTGAATTATATTATAGTAATATAGTTTATATTTTTTAATCTATATTTGAACTACACAAGTTTCTCTTTTGAGCAATATAATTTTCCGGTTAAAGAAGTATTAAAATTGAAGGTTTTTGAATTTATCCCAAAAAACAGTATTGATTTAATATTTATGTCATACCCCTATAGTATGTGGAGATTGTTTACTGTTACTTCATCCAAAACGATGCCCAATGTGCAATCAGCCATTTACAACATACCTTCGTATTTGGTCATAATTTTAATTTTGTTTTTCATTATAATATTGTTTGTCATAATGTAGGTACTTTGTTATAAGCAAATAAATATTATCTATACTAATTTATTGTATAGATTTTAAGATTATATAAAAATTGTTTGTTTGTTCGTCTACACTACCCCAAGGATCTATAGGCTATATATTTTTATCTCAATAAAATATGGCCTTAAGTTTCTTTTATTGAAAATTTGAGAATTTTTTATAAAAATAATAGAACAAGAATATTTTTTGTTATTATTGGGTTGCTATTAATTACAAAAAAAATAATGCTTATGTAGGTTTAGAAACCTAAATAAATTAAAATATATCTTAATTTGTAAATAAAGTATTTATATTTTGATATCTACCTATATTTGAATGCTGTTTAGATGAATTTACAAATAGAACCATTATGCAATTATTTGTTCAATTCTAAATCCTATATATTAAATATTAATATTATCAATCCGATTGTAAGTATGCAGAGGTAACTAATAGACGGATAGTTACAACTGAGATATAATAGGTGTTCTAAACTTATTATTTTATGTTTTGAAATCTAAAACCACTACGAAGCGGCACTAAAAACATTTATTTACGTGACATCACTAGCATTTTTAACTTGATAAATTAATTACAATTATAGAAATTCACTAAAATTCTAAGGCATTATTAAAATAAAATATCACTATTACACAACAATCACTTGTGGTAATTAATTTCAAAATACTTTGAAATGTATTGATTTTATAATACTATGTGTGTGTGTTTTTTTTTGTGTCCGTCATCACCTTTTGGACACTAAAATAGCTTAAATTTTCTTCAACAGCATCCTTTCTGATCGGAAAGTGAATTTAAAAATGCCCAATAGTTTTCAAAAGCGTCAGGGAGAAAAAAAAACAAACAATTAAGGAACATCTGAGATTTGTAATTGTATTTTTTCTAGAAAATGATACTTAGATAGATAGGATATTAGAACAAATATATATATATATATATATATATAATATATAAATGGAGCGTGAAAATGTCGTTATACCTCATCAATCGAGAACGGCTGGTCCGACTTGGGTCAAATTTTTTTAAAGATGTTCGTAATTGCCATAAGAAAAATTTAACGAAAATTCGCAGGGAAAGTAGGATATCTGGATGAAAAAAATACAACAGTGTATTATATATAGCAGTGGTTCTTAACCTGTGGTCCGGGGCTCCTTGGGGGTCCGCGATACTCATGTCGGGGGTCCGCGGCCGCCTCAACACATAACATACATCAATAAGTGACAGAGTGCATTATTACAATATTATTGGATTATTATTTTTTTTTCATGTATAATATGTAGATTCTACACCAAATAATATTATTGTATTATTAGTATTTATTAAGTAGGTAATCAGTTTTTCTTGTTCATACGAAATGTACATGCGTACAGCACTGTGTAGTCTCGGCAGTCTTATATTTACTACCACTATAATTATTGCAGTTGAACGATCGTAGTATCGTACTCAGTTATAGTTTTATATTACATTTAAAAAAAATTAATTGTAATAAAAATAATTGGAAATGTGTATGTTTTGTTGTCTACTCATGTAATTTTTAATATAAAATATTATAATTTTGGTTATGATAACATGAGATGTTTTGTAAAAAATTGGTAAGAAGGTCCGCGATTTCTAAAAATCTTTCATCAGGGGTCCGCGATCTACAAAAGGTTAAGAACCGCTGATATATATGTTGCAATTGGTTAATCGGGCATGTTTGTTGATTTGTATTATTATTTTTGTCAATATATATATAAATGAATGTTTGTGTGTATATTAGACCTCTGGGGAGAAGATAGGCTAATTTAAAAATGGATAAATTTGGTTTTTTTTATTCATCTGATATTTTGTGTTAAGCAGAACTCAATTTATGTTGTTAGCTTTACTCAAACATAGGACTTGGAAGTTGGAACTGGTTAAAATTACCTAAGTTATAAAGTTACTTTTTATTTATTTATTTTATTACTATATTTTTAAGTAACTTTATAACTTAATACTAGTTGAATGATTGAATGTATGAAAATAAACTTATCTAACTTGTTAAAAACAATAAATAATTACACTTATTTTTGTAGTTTTTTTTTTCATTCTAAAAGTCCAAATGTTCCATAAAGCTGCTTAGTGTCAACTATATAACCATACAATTTTGAAAATAATTTGACTCTTTTTGAACACTTTACGGACCATTTCAAATTTTAATTCTTTTAGTTTTTTTTTTCTATGAATATCAATAAAATTGTATTTGTTGGGCAGGGCCGGACTGGGCCACTGTGCTACTATTCTACAGCACAGTGGGCCGCGTGCTACGGTTAAAAAAAAAAAATTATAAATACTAAAATATTAAAGTCAATCTAATTATGCAAGGGCTTATATTTTATGCCAATAATACGAATCAATACAAGTTTACTGAGCGTTAGGCAGTTGGTAGTATTATCACAAAAACGCAGTGGAATTGTGGAAATATTACAAAAATAAACACTGAATACAATATTATTATCGGCCTATTGTAGCCACAGATATATCTATATACCTATATTATATATGCTGCGATGGTGGCCGATGCAGTGGTAGTAGTGGTCACACTGTCATAGACATAATATAGAACATAACTCTATGGTAGTGGTTATTTTTTATTTTATAATTTATTTTGGTGGCTAAAAATAGTTTTATAGTTTTATTTCCCAATTTATTGATTACCTACCTAGATGATATCAATAATATTATAACCTAACATCATGTTTTATTTTGTAAAATAAAAAGAAAATAGTCTTGTATTCTTGTTATTCTTGTCCGGTGTTTTGTTGTGGTTACTATAAATGCTCGAAGTGATATATAAAATCCCGTGACGAGTGACGATATAGTGAACAACATCGAGTACGGTTAATACTTAAATTTATAAAAATGGAAAAGGTAAAAAAAAATCGTAAAGGAGGAGCAGAAAAAATTAGAGCCAAACGAATGTCTGAACTTAAGGCAGCAGGAAGTGATCCGAAACAAAAGAAATTGCAATTTTGTACAACTATTAACACACAAAATGGTACGTTCTTATAATATTAATTAAACTATAATATTTTGAATGGGTATGTTTTAGATAGTTAATAAATGTGTATGAAGTATTATAATTTATATTACTTTGACATTTTTAGATAACTTTAATGATGAAACATCAAAACAATTAGAAATAATAAATAATCCTACATCGACTAGTGTAAGTGTTAAAGTATATTATATAACACATTAAAATATTTTGCAAATGTTTAAAAAAACTATATATTTTTATTTCAATACCTATGTGTTGTAGACTATAGAATAGAAAACACTTATGTTTCTTATTAGAAATAATTTATATTGAATTTATCTTTAAAGGATCCTGTGTGTGCCAGTACATCCACTGTGCATAATACCAGTGATTTAAATGTCAATGACAGAAGTTTGGAATTAGTAATATCTCATGATAATGAAACAAAAAAATCCTACATTTTCTAGTGTAAGTGTTAAAGTATATTACACATGCGAAAATTTGGCAGCTAAAAATTTATTTGGTTTATTAAATAGATTAGCAACTTTTTTTTCTGATTCATACAAAAAGATGGGTGTGTGGAAAGAAATTCAGGAAAAACTGACAACCGGTCAAAACAAACTGAAAAAATTACAGAAAATAGGTGAAACTCGTTGGTGGTCTCGCGAAAAAGCATTACTATGGATGTTTGACGGAAATGACTGTTTATATCCTATAGTGATAAATGCATTGGATTTTGTGGCAACATCAAAAACTTTTGACCCAAAATCTATTTCCGAAGCCAATTCATTAAAAGAAAAGTTGTGTCAATTTAATATTATAGTAACAGCTCATTTATTTCTTCCAATTTTCAAAAGTATTGGCCCTACTTCAACATACCTACAATCAAAGAATTTGGATATATTGAATGCTTTTTTAATGGTGGATAAGTGTATTGCTGACATAAGTAACTTAAAATTTGAGAATGTTCTTAAATCATCCAAAGATTTCGTTTTAAAAATGAATAATTCCCTTCACAAAATTGCATTAAATAAAGAGATATTTATTGAGAATGAATTTTCCTAAAAACAGAAGAAGAATAAAAAAACTTATGTTTGATGAAGTTTGTGACGATGAAGCACCAACAGATCCAAAACAAAAATTTCGAGTAGAAGTTTTTCAATGTATCATCGACCAATTGCGAACCAGCCTAACTGAAAGATTTACTAACAATAAAAGTTTGGTTGCAGATATGCAATATTTATTGCCAAAACATTATAATGATATAAGAAATAAATTAATTCCTAAATCAGCATTACAAAAGTTATCACTATTATCATCTGTTGATCACTCAAAATTAATTGACGAACTTGAACACTTTGCTGGAATTTATGATAAAATTTCTAAACCATTATATAAAAAAACTGTTGATAATTTGACGAAAACACAAATAATGATGATGATAATTTAATTGTAACTGATATGGATTATGAAGATTTTTCTTTGGATTGGGATGATACTCATCTATCTGTTACAGGTAACTAAAAAAAAATAAATTGTTTATTAAATATATCATATTTTAACCAAATTCAACTATAAAATATATTTATATGTTTTTATTCGTGTTAAGATATTTATATAAAGATTTTTTTTTTTCAGAATCTGAATGTGAACACTCTTTTATCCGTGATGAAAAAGGTATACATACCCGAGAGAATTGTTTGATTTGTGTTTTTAATTTACTTCATTCGCTTTATTTATATATGCCCACTTATTCTAATTTATATGCCGCCATGGAATATGTACTAACCTTATCGGTAACTCAGGTTAATTGTGAACGCGTATTTAGCAAATTAAAAATTATAAAAAATCGTCTACGCGCTTCATTATCTAATGACCGCTTAGATGCTTTTTTTATTAATGTCTGTAGAAAAAGAAATATTAAATGATTTAAATTTTGAAGATATTTTGGACATTATTAAAAACTCATCTCATACTTTATCTAAATTATTATCGTTCACATAATTACATAATTATATAATTATAAAATCGAATTTGTCATACTGTTACTTGGTGTTACTGATTTATACCTATATGTATTGATATATTTTACATTTTCTTTGTAATCAACACCGACAAAGTTCCTAAATCCTAATTCTTATAAAACGTTGGTAAAGGTAGAAATACTATTGAGAAAAATGTAATATTGTGTTAGTTGGGCCGTTAAATATAGTAAAATGGGCCGGTTGCATACAGAGAATAGTGGGCCGAAACCCTTCCAGTCCGGCCCTGTTGTTGGGTAAAAACCGTGAAAACGTAATGCAAGGCTCCTGATATATTGTTACAGTAGCAGTGGAAAAATAATGCACAGGCACAATTTTTTTTATAAGCATTTAAAGTTCAAATGTTGACAAAATTTAGCACATTTAAATTTTAATGATTATTTTGTACCTAGTTAAAAATTTATAAAATGTTCAAATTTTATAGCCAGGGATTGAAAATTTAAAACAAGATTCCACATAAATAGGTTATATATAAATTACTTTATTCATCTTAATATCATCAAATATACTTAGTAATATCATAGGCTGACTGACCGTTTTCGCTCAAAATCGTTTTCCTTATACTATGATATTATATCATAGAATTCAAATTTAACACCATTTATTACACTATTACAGTGACCCACTTGTAACCTACTGTACAGCAGAGCGATATCTACTTACCCACTTTTTAAACTCACCATTCAATGGTTACCATTGTAGGTATAGCTATAGCTCAGATTTCTAGCTTGGTCTGCTATACATCGAGAACATATAGAATAATGTGCAACGTCTACAACTTCCAAGTCCTATAGATATAACAGAACCAAGGTTATTTCCCATTATAATTTATAAACTTATAACTTATAAGTTTTAGGCAGTTAAAGCCATGAAGTCTAGAATCTTCTAGTTTGCTATGCACAGAACTTAACCTATGTTAATTGATGTCTGATAACATTCTTACGTACACTCATATACTATATTATACATAATAATAATATATAATAGGTAGGTACCATATCATGTATTATGTATATGTTGTATGTATATAAATATTTCGTAATGATAATTAATTTGTGTAGGTACATCGCTGTGTATGATGAATCATTCCTTCATAACTTTATATTATGTATAACAGGAACAAGTGACGCCAGTGAGGGGGTGTCACTACACCTGCAACCTGCAACACCCCCCTGGCTACTCGCCTGTAATGGGCAATATACCTATATTATATAGACATTTACAAACGCCAAATATACGTATACCTAGTTGGATCTTACTGTTTATATATTTAATAAGTAATATAATATATAATATTGTACTATAATAATTTAATTATATATTTATAATTTATAATAATAATTCAACGAAAAAAAAAGAAATCTTTAAAGATATACATAAATAAGTAGTAAATATTATGATAGATGATAAAATATATAAACAAAAAATCATAATTTCATTTTTTTACCGAACGGATCAAAATGTCCCTTTGAAAAAAAGGATCAAATTGTCCCCAAGGATCAATTTGTCCCCAGCGGATCAAAATGTCCCCGGATCAATATTTCCCCGGATCAGTATGTCCCGATACCCAATATATTAAGAGCATTGTATTAAATTTTCAATCTTTTTTACCCAACAAATACAATTTTATGGACATTCTTAGAAAAAAAATTTGAAACTGAAACTGACAAAAGAATTTTACCGCCATCGCCACCGTTGCAGTGTGTGGTGACCTTTAGGCGGTGCGACCCAGAGCTCCGTTGATCGAACGGTGCCCAAAAAAAAAAGGCCCGGTGCCTGAATATCGAACTGAACGCACAGTGCTCTAGACACCATGTACTGCATGTTAAATAAATGAGGTATTTCAGCAACACTCCTAATTTGAATCTTGTCTTCGCATCTCCCCTTTTTCCCATGTTTTCAGTACCTACGGCGCAGGCAGCCATATTGCTGCAGTTCTACGTCAATTGTATTATAAGTTGCTATGTTTTAAACCTTGTGGAAAAAAGCAATATGGCCGATATGCGTATATAAAATTGCTGACATATCTACCTACCAACTCCGGATCACCTCTTTTCTTTATCACTGTGTACTGAACGGTTATCGGTCCACGATAAGACCATATACTACTATTATACGTCTATACTATTATACTATTATACTATATAGGTAACTATAAAAAAATTTAAAAAATAGTAACTTGAATATGATCTAAGTATATGATCTAGGGATACAGTTAGTACCCTAGGGGTATGAAGTATTGGACTCCTTGAAACCGTACCTATCCGTATCGGATAGAACGTTTGTAACGTGTATCCCATTTTGTTATGAAATTATACAACCGAAACAAATAAACAATCCATATTGACCACGACGGCCGTTTTCATTTATTCAAAGTTGTTTATGTCGCGAAAAACCCATTGCCTACGCCACTGCACTCAATATTATCAAAAAACTACCAAACTACCAAAGTTAAGAAAACCAAGCGCATAAATGTGGCCTGCATAAATATTATAATCTGAATTTTGATCACAGACTAAGATATAATTATAATATATAATGATATATTCATATCACGGACTAAGATATACAGGACTGGACACGAGATGAATATTGTGGTTACGAAATGTTTTACAACAGGCGGAGTTCGGGGGGATATTTTCCTTTTAGCATTACTAGCGCCGTCTTAGTGGATACTTATAGAACTAGAAATTTGTATGATGTGTTCTAGTTCCATAAGTATCCACTAGGACGGCGCTAGTAATGCTAAAAGGAAAATATCCCCCCGAACACTGCCTGTTGTAAAACATTTCGTAGTCAACCCCCCCACACCCTCCAACCTTGTCGTGTCCAGTCCTGTATATCTTAGTCCGTGATTCATATTATTATATCATGTTATAATCCGGCATAGACCTGATAATTGTCAGGTCTACGGTGTCCGGACAGAAATGCCGCCATCCCCCACCCGGGAATGTCAGATGCCAGATACCTACGGGTGCCCACTAAAAAGATCTGCCAATCTAACAAACATACGTGTTTAAACCTACAGTACCCTCCCCCACAGTTAAAAACCACCCAATGGTCTAAGTTGCCTTTGGGTTACTTTATTACTTAATAAAAAAAAAATAATAATAATAATATCTTAGTCCGTGACTATTATCATAGACTATTATTATTGCTATTATTGTTATTATTATTATTATTGTTTTTGTTTGATTCATTGGTTCCATTTACATTTTCCTGACGTGCACACACTGATTCTTATCAGGTACTTTTTTGTTTTTATATTATCGTTTATAGTTGTTGTATTCGTAAATTTATTATTTTTGTAGTATCAGCGGCGTTGTGAAAATTTCAAAATGTATTAATTATTATTGATAATTGATATAATATAGTAAATTGGCAAACAGTTTTACAGTTTACTAATATTTCATCAGTAGTAAAAGTTGTTTTACGAGGGTATATTTAATTTCGGAGCAATTTTCGGTTTAATTCAAAACCGGTTCACTGTTGTTAGAACAGAACGAAGTTAATTATGTCGCCAAGGTAAGTATAAGATATCATACACTATGTACCTATGAACTGTATTTATTTGTATAACTATCGCCACTACATCAGAAAACATTTGGTTGAATCTTTCATTGTTTTTTTATTTTTGGACTTGGACTAGCATTAGCTAAAGTAAAGTGTCAACCGCATGCCCACACCCCATATTTATTTAGAATTGGGGGATATTGAAATGTATGCTTGACTTGGCCTCCTAAAGCCCCCCACTGATTAATGCCAATGTGTTTAAAGTACACCAATATTTATGTACAGGGTACACCAATTGTCATTTTGAGGTTAATGTCCATAATCAATGTTGAACTGTTAAAAATCTATGTTGGCGTGATTAAATTTTATTTGTTTGTATTGCAGAAAACGACGTGGAGGGTCAAGAGGTCGTGGTAGTGGTATAGCGAAAAGAAGAGGTCCAAAACCACGTCAACCTATGTTCCCAGACACTGCTACTGCAGATGATGCCGGTGCTGAGGGTACGTCCACAGATGGTAATGTGTCTTTCAAACAGGTTATGTCACCACCACAGTTACCATCCAGGAAAAAACATGCTGACTACAACGAAGAAAGAGAGCTGTCGTTACCTCGACTAAAATCTATTGTCATTCCAGAAAATTCTACCATCCTGTCATGTAAAATCAAAATTAGGGAATTTTTGTTAGGCTTGTAGGTGGTATCTTATAAATACTTTTGTTGTTTTAGTGCTGAGCCGTGATATCGAATCTGACTATATAATGACGGACGATGAATTGGACCATGTTCAATGGGATCTTGAAGCAATGTTAACTAATGTTATCTTACGCAGAAATACAATAAGAGACGAACTAAGCACTTTTGCATCCATGCAGTTTGCTCATTCCCTACATAGGAT